TAATGTAATATAATATAATATAATAATATAATAATAATATATATATATATATATATGTGATAGATGCCTTATATGTATATATATATATATATGTATGTACGTACGTACAATATGTACGATGCTGTGGTAAGCCTCCAAGTGTTGTGCAGTCTACTTGTATCAACCGTTTGTTGCTCCAGTGTATCACACCCCTGAACTGTGAACTATAACCACTAACTTACCAAGGAGTGGGGTCGGGTTATATCTGCGTGTGAAGCAAGGTGCACATGTAGAATCAATTGTGAGGTTTTGGGGGGGCACCAAACCCAAATCCACGCCTCAAGCCCGAGAACCCAAAAAGTCTCCCTGAGTTTCCTGCAGAGTTGTGTACTGCAACTCTTTTTCACAAGAGCATGCCGCAAACCCCGGAGGCCCCAGTTCAAACCTTGAGCCAAACATCCATGACCTCCAGGCATAATTGTTTTATTCCTACCCCTAAGGGTCCATGTACCCAATATAATATATAAACTTTGGCCCCAAAGTACCTATATAGGGACTACTTTAAGGCCAAAGTATATATTATTTGGGTACATGGACCCTTAGGGTACGATATATAGAAGCCCGAAATTCTACTATATAGGTACGTAGGACACTGTGCAGGACTTCCGACAGTTAGCGTGTAAAGCCTGAAACCCCACAGGCGGAACTTCGATCCTCCAGACCAAGAGGGTACGATGGGGCCCTGAATAAGTTGGGTTTAGGGTTTAGGGTTTAGGGCCTAAATAAATTGGGTTTAGGGTTTAGGGTTTATAATAAATAAATTGGGTTTAGCGTTTAGCCCTAGTGTTCCTAGCCATATCATTGTACCATAAGTGGCCCCCAAACCCTGGCTCTGAGGATTAAGGGATTAAGGCCCCTATAGTACACTTTCCCAAAGGGTCCTATGTACCTATATAGTAGAATGTAGGGTTCCTAGATTAGGAATTCTTATTATGATTTAGGGAAGTATCCCCAATAACAGTACATGGGACCCTTTGGGTTTTTTGATCCTGCAGCGCAAGGATGAGAAAGAAGGGTTTCTGTGTCCCTGAACTCCTGCAGCCTTTCTGTTCCAACTTGGATCCAGCGCTTTTCATGAAGAGAGGTTTTCCTGCACTAGAACTCAATAAGACTATGGCTAATTAGTTCTCTATTCTCTACTAGTTCTCCATGATCCGGGTGCCTATTCGGATACCCAAAGCATACGTCAAGGTGAACATTACGGGATCATACGCATGAGCCTATGTAACAAAACCGAAGAAAAGTTCTCAACAAACAAATTGGTAAGCATTTGCCGTCCGCACAAAAAACATTGCAGCCACTGCACAGGTCGCAGAGAGCCTCGTGTTGGGCGCTTCTTGCAAATGCTTGTCCAATAACTAATGGGCAGAACAGGTAGAACTGCGATTGTTTTGCTTACATAAGGGACCTTAAACGAAAATCTCGAACGTCTACACACACACGCAGAGCATGCGAGCACTGCCGTCATCACATGCTTCCGCTTCCGCACTCTTGGATTCAAAAGTTAGACTACTTCATCGCAGCACTTACGGTCTCGACTCTTGTGTTGTTTTCAGGAATTGTCGAGCTTCCAAAGTCGCAGAGCACTAGGATCGTTGCTGCATGCACCATGGCGACGTGGCGCAGTTGGCTGACCTTAGCTGCTTTCGGCTACAGTGCTGCAGCAAATGCCGTGATGTTCATGGATTTCGTGGTGCTGAGTGATCTCAGCTCCCGGACATTTGCCGTCGATGTGGGTGACATCGCCATGACATACAGTCTGGCTCTCTTCACAACCTTGCCGACAGCATTCTTAGTGGCGTACTTCTTGCCGCGCCAAAGCTATTATGTGTTTGGCGCAGGTGCGCTTTTCAACACAATCGGCGCGTGGCTACGATGGCTTAGTGCCGTGCAGGGCAATTGGGCGATGTGCCTGGCCTCAACCGTTTCCATTGGAGTAGCCTTCGCCGTGTGTTGCATGTCTTATGCGGTCATGGGTGAGCGCTGGTTTCCACCTGAACTGCAAATGTTGGCCACGAGTATCGGTGTCCAGTCTAACTATGCAGGTTGGTGTTTGAGCGCATTTCTGATCCCGACCGTTGTGCAATCGCGACAGGATCTGGAGCAATTCCTGCTCTATCAGGCGGTTGCAGTGACTGCCGCCATACTGCTGTTCATATTTTTACACGATGAGACTGCGGGTAAGGCGCTGCCAGAAGAGATACCATCTGTCAGGAGAAACCTCCGGAGCCTCTCCAAGCACCCCAATTTTTTCATGAAGATGGCCTGCTACGCAACCCTGGGTGCGGTAAGCTACACAATACCCGCAGTCCAGGATGTCTTGATTTCGGAAACGCTGGACGCTACCCCAGCCTTCACCAAGTGGACAGATGTGGCCTTTATCGCCATCGGTGTCGTCGCTGGGCCACTTGCATTCAATTGCCTTCTGAGTTTTTTGTGCAGAACTCCTCAACCCTAAACCCTAATTCCTAAACCCTCTAGACCCGATAACCCTAAGATAAGACGTATGGCCCTAGTCACGCCCCTTCGAGACACCCCCCCAAGGGCCGGGAGGAGCACAAACTAAATCTCAAAGGCTATGTATGACTATATAATAGTCTATATAGGCAGTCATTCAGTCTTGTATAGATGTATAGGTTCAAAGTTAAGCTAAGGCTATCCAGCCCAAACCCTAATAAAACCCCACAGAAGACCTTTTCAAGGATGCTCTTCTCTGTTCGGGAGCCTCGTAATCCCGATCGGCTCATTCTTTGCACCTTCGTCGCGGCCTCCCTGGGCCTGGTAGCGGCTTCGCTCATCGTGTATCCCGCCTGGTTTGCGGTTTGGGAAGGGCTGAATCAAGATCGATCTTCAGGGTGGATATATATATATATATATGTATACAGACAAGTAGATAAATGCATAAATGCATGTGTGTGTATGTATATGAGTATATATATATATATATGTAAAAGAGAGAGAGAGAGAGAGAGAGAGAGAGCGAGAGGGAGAGAGAGGGAGAGAGGGATCCCAGCTCAGGTCCCTGCGTGACTGATTTCATTCCCTCTGCATTGCTTGGTTGAAGTATGCAGCACGGTTACCTCCATGGTGCCACAAACGTCAAGGACGGAGTAGACGACGAGCATGATACTGATGATGGTGATGATAATGATTGTGCTGCTGGTGGTGATTGGTGATAATCATGAGGATGATGCTGATAATATTGTTGTTGATGATGGTGTTGATGATGATTCAAAAGATGAAGAAAATTAGCATGATGCAGATGAAGGTTACACTAATGATCAGTATGTTGTGCATGATGATGACCATGATGATGCAGATGATGATGGGGATGCTGTTGTCGTTGATGATGATGATGATGATGGTGATGACGATGATGATGGTCATGATAACATTGATGATTGTTTACTATTGCGTGAGCTGCCAGGATGCACAAACAACGGTTTTCTTGTTTCTGCTGTTGCCGAGGTTATGTTGATGATAATAGTGGTTGTGCTGATTGTCATGGTGGCGGTGGTGCTGGTGCTGGTTTTATCATGTTTTTCCTTGTTGTCGTCAAAGTGGTCAATGGTCGTGGTCATCTTCGGCATCATCCGTGCTCGCGTAGTGTTACTTCGTAGTCCTCTTCCTTCGGGCATACAAAACACAATTCACCATCACCAAAAAAGTTACTCAGACTTCTACTGGTTAGGTTACGTACCTCGAAGGTCCCCTTTGCTGGATAGCGCCAGCCTTGCTGTCCGACGAGCTGCTCTCGTTGCCGCCATGGCCGTGGTCGGGGGCGCGTCCTTGGGATTTCTTGGCGTGGCGCTAACCCACATCTGCCACGAGGCAGGGGGGCAATAATGAAGCTAGGCTCTAGGCAGAAAGCAGGGCTGATGATCGTCTACAGCATGGACATGATTGTGAAAAATGATGATGAAGGTGATGATGGTGATGATGATGATGATGATGATGGTGATGCATTGTCCGATTCATGGAGGGGGAAGCCTAAATGTTTCTACACCGACCTGAACACAAATCTTCAGGCATTTTTGGTAGAACAAGGCTACTCTTGCGGCCTTGCGGCCGCCATTACCAGTATTCTGCTATGTAAAGACACCAATTGCAAGGACCATGGGACTGAACCTGAGCTCTCAACCCTAGCACCCCTCAAGAACCTAAATCCTAAGCCCAGGGGCCTTAATAAGAAACTATACTATTTTGGGCGTTCTGTATTAGAACTATAGTATACCCCAGCCCCAAACCCTTGTTCTGATTATTAAGGCTCCTAGACCCTAAACGCTTATAGTAACCCTTCTAAAGGAACCCTTAAAGGAACCCCAATTCTAGTTATGAAGGCCCCTATAGTATTCCCGGCGGATGCTAGTGCGCCCCTGCAAGGTTCCCGAGGTGCATGAGGCCATCAGCGCCGGTGCCGTGGAGTGGTTCGTACAGGCCCGTACGGGTTTAAGGTTTCGGGTTGGGAATTTAGGCCGAGGATGAGGGTGTACTGTAGGGTGCCTGACTAATTACCTATATTATTTTGGGGGTTCCTTATTATACTGAAAGGTATAATGGGCCCCAAAACCCTATTCTAGTTGTTCCTACATTAGGCTTCAGGGAGAGCTCGGAGAGTTTCGTCCTTCTGCCCCAACACCGCTTTAGGGTTTAGGGTCTGGGGTTTAGGGCTTTGGGTTTAGGGTTTAGGGTCTCGAACCTCAAACCCTGAACCCTGAACTATTCAAGCCCACTTAACCCTACACCCTAAACCCTGAAGCCTGAAAGCACTACACATGTTCGTGTTTGATTTCCGATCCCCCAAAAAGGGCTCGGAGTTTAGAGCATGTTTGGGGCTTTGGACTTCGAGTTTTTTGGGGCTTCGCGCTTGTAGGTTTGGGGGAGTTTGGAGTTTATGATTTAGGGTTCGGGTACATTCGATGACATAGTTGAGCGTCCCCTGTCTTTTGTTCCTTTGTTGCTTTGTTGCCCTTGGCAGAAGAGATGTCAAGCTGACATGCAATCCGACATCAATCTGCATTCGGAGAGCCCTGATGCCCAAACCCACATTTAAGAAGGGGCCTAATAAACGCCCCAATCCAACTAAAGCCTAACCTTAAATCCTAAACCCTAAACAACCCTAGAAACCCTAAGAACTCAAAGACTTGAAGTCAAGCAAGTGATCCCCAACCGCAACCGGCAGAGGCTGGAGGCGGCGTACTCTCTTCCTTCGCCGTGAATAGGCAAGACTCTGAGCTTTAGGGTTTAGGGTTTAGAGTTTAGGGTTTAGATGCCTAAGGGTCCATGTACTCATGCAGCATAGAATAGCATATAAACATGCCTTGAAGTAGTCCCTAAATCGGAACTTTAGGGCCAAAGTATATCCTATTTGGATCCCTAAACCCTAAACCCTAAACCCTATTTGGGTAAGGAAAGAAAAGAAAACCGTTCCGGGGACCGGCCCCAGGGTTCCCCAGTATTCGGGGTTAGGGTGTCGGGCTTCGGGTTTAGGGTTTCAGGGTTTAGGGTTTAGGGTTTAGGGTTTAGGGTTTAAGGTTTAGGGTTTAGGGTTTAAGGTTTAGGATTTAGGGTTTAAGGTTTAGGCTTCAAGGTTTAGGGTTTCAGGTTTAGGGTTTAGGGTTTAGGGTTTAAGGTTTAGGGTTTAAGGTTTCGGGTTTAGGGTGTGAGAGGGTTTAGGGCTTAGGGAGGTGTCTTCATGGCATTTTGCACAGGCGCAGGTCTTGTTTGCATGAGTAATGGAAAAGAGGGTGCAGTGGTGCCGAGCAGGTCCGTCAGGGCTTTGGGGCACAGGGTTTGATGAAGCTTTCCGTAAGGCTCCATCTACCCAAATAGCATATACTTTGGCCTTAAAGAACCACCCCGTATATAGGTACTTTGGGGCCGAAGTATATACTATTTGGGTACATGGACCCTTAGGGTTTGTGGGTTCGATTCGGGGCTGGGACTTGGGGTCTCCGACGCCGCAGAGCCTTAGAGTACTTCGGTTTAGGGTTGAGGGTTTAGGGTTTAGGGTTTAGGGCCTCTTGCACGTCCCAGGCACGGCTTTGAAATCTGTGGCGCCCTCGTGGTTACCGCCACAGGCATCTTGATTATCGATCTCATCCTGGCGAGGACTTGGGGGGAGCTCTGGGATTGGGTGGAATAGAAATAGGGTTTAGGGTTTAGGGTTTAGGGCGGTTCCGTATTAACAAGTTGCTGTAGAAGATACCCCGATTTTCCTTTTCCAATCATTAAGGACGCCCCCTGTGTTCCAGATATCCATCATCCATGGTCAGGGTCGTACCATAACTCTGATATGTTAGGGTACTTGTGGTATGGCAGCGCTTTCTGAGAGATCAGTGAGTCTACAGGTTTCGAAGGAGCGAGGTTCGCCGAATAAGGGTTCGACTGCCCAAGGACGCCGTGCACTGAGCTATGGCAGCTACGGGTTGAGGGGTTTCAAGACATGTGACACCCTGGACTGACACACATTCACACAATATCTCTCAGAATCACGGGTGTCCAGGCTTTAGTTCGATTGTCCGAATATCAGACAGACACTCTTCGACGGGCTATTCTTCGGCACGTGCTTGGCTGCTCCTGTTATCAAGCTCGGTCAGCGGGTTAGTTCCGACTGAGACCGAATTCAGTTCCGCGACGTTGAGCAGCTTGCAGAAGCCTGTTCCACCCAGAAACATCTGCAAAACAATACACGAGACCTTAGGGTCAATAACATTGTAGTTTTTTAAGGTACGTAGTATCCAGGAAGCTGATGGAACAGAAAGATCCTATCCGGACCCGGCCCCGGCAGAAGACACCCTTTCGGTTTGTTTAATATAGGGGCCTTAGAATAATTAGAACACCCGGGTTTGGGGGTATATTCTACTATAAATATAATAAGCAAACCCCCAAAACCCTATTCTAATGATACCCTAAACCCTAAACCCTAAACCCTAAACCCTAAACCCTAAACCCTAAACCGTCCCCTATCTTACTGCCAGAGGACCCCTGGCTCTCAATTGCCCGACGATTGCTCGGATGTCAGCGGGGAGACGAACGAAGAGGATTCCCAGTCAAGTGCAGAGCTGTAAAAGGCAGCCAGCAGGCTACGGTTGATGATCTAAATCCTACATTATAACCCATATTAAGGAATTTACCATAAGTCCCATAGTTTAGGGTCCTTAAGGTAATGCAGGATTTATATCGGCAGCAGTGCCACATTGCTGTGGCATTCGTGATTCTTTCTGGGTATAGGTGCAGAACTAACTGTAAGGGGCCCTCAGGCAACGAAAAGATCAGACTTAGGGGGGGCTCAGGAGAGACTGTTCATTAAACCTTAAACCCTAAACTCCTAACCTCTAACCCCTAAACCCTAAACCCTAACCCCTAAACCCTAAACCCTAAACCCTAAACCCTAATTGTTCAGATCAAAGAAGAAGTGGCTGTTGTCTTTACGTCGGCTTCGGGGGGCTGGCAGGTTCCGGACTTACTGTAAAAACCCTAAACCCCAAAGCCCTAAACCCCTAAACCCCAAGCCCTAAACCCTAAACTAAGCCCTAAGCCCTAAAACCCTAAACCCTAAACCCTAAACCTTAAACCCTAAGCCCTAAACCCCTAAGCCCTAAACCCCTGAACCCCAAAACCTCCTAAACCCTAAAACCCTAAGCCCTAAACCCCTAAACCACCCAAAACCTCTAAACGCTACATAAACCGTGGGAGGACCTCCGTCTTCCGCAAGCTTAAACCCTAACCCTCCAGGTACCTACTATATAGGGTCCTAGGGTTTAGGGTTTAGGGTTTAGGGTTTTAGGGTTTAGGGTTTAGGGTTTAGGCTCTAGTACCCTAATAGTAGGTACCTGGCGGGTTCGGGTAAGCACGGTGAGTGCAACAGGCTGGCGACCAAAGAGTCGATCCGACTTCCGATCGTAGAGGCCCTCTACAGCGAAGACAGGTTTAGGGTTTAGGGTTTAGAGCAAGAAGATGTGGAAGAGGTGAGAACACATAACATATAATAAATTCGTGATGCCAGGGATGTAAAGCTTGGAGTTCAGTTGGTGGAAGCTTCCGCACACGGTGCGAGATCACAGGTGGCAATGCCTCAATTTTCTAGATGCTCTTGAAAAGTTGCCCTAAGGGTCCCTGTAATCATACAGCATATACATGGGCCCTAAAGTACCTACATAGGAACTACATTAAGGCCAAGGTATATACTATATGAGCACATGGACCCTTAGGGTTGGATTACAAAGACGCACCGTATAGTCAGGCAGACTTACGATTCTATGAGTGCTACAGAGACGGCGACAAACACACAGGGTTTTGGATGTTTCAGGCCCTAAACCCTGAACCCTAAACCCTACACCTACACCCTAAACCCTACACCCTGAACCTTAAACCCTGAACCCTAAACTCTGAACCCTAAGCCCTAAACTCTGAACCCTAAGCCCTATGCCCTGAACCCTGAATTGCCTCGCTTGAAACTTCGGCGCCCTGAGCTCCGAACCAGCCTTGACCCCTGAAGCCAGACATGAAGCCGAGGTTCAGGGGTTTTGTTGGGTTTCAGGTTTAGGGTTCAGGGTTGAAGCAGTTACGTAGCGTGAAGATAAGGTACGAAAACTTTAGAAGTCATAGTATATAGTTGTGGTGATGACGAAAATATACGGAGTGATGCCAGTAGTGGTCATCATACTTAACCTTATTGTCAGCTAACAGCAGTAGAAACAGCAATGGCTACGCACCAGGAATCACCAAATAAATGTCACTAGTTACCCCTGGGGGTCCAAGTGCTCCCTAGTATAGGACTTAGGGTCAATGTTGGGCACCCCAAACCCTAAACCCTAAACCCTAAACCCAAACCCATAAATAAGGACTACTTGTACCCTTAGGATACTGGTAGCATCAGCTTTTCGGGCCTTAGAAGGACAACTAATATAGGGACCTAACTAATCAATTCCCGACACTATTCTTGTGGGTTCCTTATGATAATTATAGTATACTGTACCCCAAAACCCTATTCTAATTATTAAGGACCCTACATTAAGGACCATCAGTGGCTCCGCACTTTCCAAGGCACGGGGCTGGAAGCTGCAGAGATTGCCTTGAGGAGTCTACCGGACCACGGCAGGCCTTCCATTTTTGGGGTTTAGGGTTTAGGGTTTAGGTTTCGGGGCAGGCGATCTGGCCTTCTTCCACTTTCTGGGTTGAGGGGTTCTGAGGCTCATAACAGGATTTTTTTGGAGTTTATAGGGTCGTGATGCTTTTCGGGCTCAGAATTGTGCAGGGCGTTAGCCTTTGGAGTGTTCGGGATCAGAATTGTGGTGTTAGCCTTTGGAATGTTGTGCGTGTTGTTGCCTGTTGGGCTGAGTCGATGAGTAGTGTTGCTTTATATCCGGCTGCTGCGGTGCATTCATCTCTGTTTCAGCTCTTGAACCTGACCCGCATCAGAACGCACGTAAGTGCACAGACTCCTTAGGAATCATCGTGATCGTATGTGTGGGTGTCCCTTTTGGGGGTTTAGGGTTATACGATAGGTTTTCAGAATTCGGTGCAAGAGGGGTGGATGTGTCTGACCAGTCGACTTTCTGGTAAGCCCCAAGCCCTGCACTCCCAATCAGCCCTAGTTCAATCCAAGACCCACCTGCAAATCCAGTAAACCTCATCCGCTTACGCCCATACCTCTAGCCTACAAAATGCTGACCGACTGACCTCTTCCAGCTATGGAGTTGCAGATGATCTGACCAAGAAGCAACAACAAAAACACGCAGTGACCCTGAAACTTTTCGCGTCTTAACAACCCTTACTTAACCCCCGACCCCTAACCCTAAATGTAAGCCTACACCGGACCCTAAACCCCAAAACCGAAACCCCAAACCCAAAACCCTAAACCCATAACCCCTAAACCCCTAAACCCCTAAACCCTAAACCCCAAAACCTAGACCCCAAACCCTCGACATGACTTCTGGGAGGCTGCGCGTGCTCGATGCAGGCTGCGGCAGTGGGGGTCAGCCTCTGGGCTCCATCGACGGGTCAACTGTGGAAGTCCCTGTTAGGTTATGGTTTTAGGGTTTAGGGTTTTATGTTTTAGGGTTCCGGGTTTAGGGTTTTGGGGTTTAGGGGTTTAGGGTTTCCGGTTTTAGGGTTTAGGGTTTTAGGGTTTAGGGTTTAGACCAATATTCCATGGAGTTCCTCCTTTTAAAAAAGTCTGCTAGAGATTCGAGGGCTTGTTGTAGAAGCCTGAACAGTTAGTAATACTATGTTGGGGGGGTTCCTTATTCTTTTTATGGTTTGAAAAAATCCCCCCCACCTAAACCTTAAACCCTAAACCCTAAACCCTAGACCTTAAACCTTAAACCCTAAACCCTAAACCCTAAACCCTAAACCCTAAACCCCAAACCCGAACCCCACCCCCCACCCAGAGCCTTGTTCGTGCCCCTGTTTTGGGGCCGTAGGGGTCAGGATCTCGGGGTGTACAACGTAAGAACCCGAGTCATTTCCGCCCCGTCCCTTGTCCTCAACTCTAAACCCGGTTTAAGGTTTAGGGTTCAGGGTTTACGGTTGAGGGTTTAGGGTTGAGGGTTTAGGGTTTTGGGTTTATAGGGTTTATAGGGTTTAGGGTTCAGGCTTTAGTGCTCAGGGTTTATAGGGTTTAGGGTTTGGCGTTCAGGGTTCAGGGTTTAGGGTTTATAGGTTTTAGGGTCTAGGGTTCAGGGTTTAGGGTTTATAGGTTTTAGGGTTTGGGGTTCAGGGTCTAGGGTTCAGGGTTTAGGGTTCAGGGTTCAGGGTTCACCGAAAGAGCTACTCCGGCTTCAGGGCTTGAGTTCCCCTCCCACACCTAGATCCTAATGCCCTGCACCGAATATTTTGGGGGCCTTCATAATTAGAATAGGGTATTTTGGGGCCCATTCTACTATAACCATAACCAAGAACCCCCAAAATAATGGGGCCCTAAACCCTAAACCCTAAATTATATAGGTAGTTCTGAAGGCCCCTACACCCTAAGCCCTTCCACCTGCACCGTCAACCTGCGCCAGGCGACCCCAGAACCCAATAGAACCGAAACCCGCAAGGAAGCTACAAGTTGATGTAAAAGAGTGGCCTTAAGAACTACCTCTCGTATTTTGGGGGTTCCATCGGCTCCTTATTATGATTATAGTATAGTATGCCCCCTAGCCTATTTCTAACTAGTAAGGCCCCTGGATTATCCCTCATTGAACCTTCAAAAAGCCTTTATTGAACCGTTGTAAGAACCCGTTAGTTAAAACCATGATATGGGGGTTTCCGAAAATAGGGGATCCTAACATAGTACCCTAAATAATAGGATCCCGTTTATAAGGACCCCCAAAATACCCTAAACCCTAAACCCTAAACCCTAAACTCTAAACCTAATAACCCTAAACCCTAAACCCTAATTTTCCTGAAACGCCCACATCCGAATCTCAAAGGCTCTTGGAAATTCATGCCCTCGCACAGCGACAAGGCGAGCCCTAGCGGGAAGTGACGAGCTACTTAGGGTGTAGGGTTTAGGGTTTAGGGTTTGGGGTTTTGGGTTTAGGGTTTTGGGTTTTGGGTTTAGGGTTTAGGGTTTTGGGTTTAGGGTTTAGGGTTTAGGGTTACTTCAAGGAGAACGGGACTTAATGGACTTAGTAATCGGGGCTGTGCAGAAGGTATTTGACCCCAAGAGTAAAGGTATGCTGAACGGATCATGGGACGTAGTAATTAGGGTTGTGCAGAAAGGGTTTAGGGTTTAGGGTTTAGGGTTTAGGGTTTAGGGTTGTGCAGAAGGCCCTAGGCCCCAAACCCTACAAAGTCGTAAGTGTTTATGACCCCAAAGTATGGTGCGCATAGCTTCAGAGTCCGTGGAGCTCCCGTGTAGAGGCATAAGGTTGGAGGCCAAAGAGGTATGGAGCATTCTCGCGGTCAACCAAGCCATGCCATACCGGGGTTTAGGGTTTAGGGGCGCCATACCAAGTCATGTTCAACCCTAACCCCTAAACCCTAAACCCAGTGCAGGAACTCTTATACCCTTGTTCGACAGGAACCCCATCTGAAACAAGCTCCTGTGTGACACGAAACTCTGTCTAACAAAATTGTC